TATATGTATATATGTGTATATATACATATATATGTATATATATGTATATATATGTATGTATGTATATGTATATATATACATATATATGTATATATATATATATATAATACAGACGAAGTTTCAGGTAATTGTGCGAATTTCTGAAAAATCATGAAATGTATATATTCAAATAGAATCTCGAGAGTGTTGAATACACAAGAAGATTACACTTTAATGCTTGAATGTTTCCTATCAAATTGTATCAGTACAAATCGATTGAGTCTGATTCTTTATTCATTCGTATTCGGTTCTTCTTTTCCCTCTGCATTCTGAATTTCTTCTCGTTAGTAATCTTGAATTGATCGTCTAGCAATACACAATTCCTCCTCGATGTATCATTAAATGGAGCTTACAAAGGCTATGTTATGATGCGTTAGTAGTACAACACGTTAGTCAACGTTGTAGTCAGTTTGATTCTACTCTATTTGATGATGTTCCCTGGCCGTTACAGGAAATATCGATTCACACCGTTACATATCGAACTTTATGGCATTTTTTTCACCTGAGAATAATTACAGGACAAATTGTCAATGCACTAAATACGTAAAGTAAGGTCGAGGCTTCTTATTGAAGTACAATGCATGTGTTTCTTCTTTTCTTTTCATTTCTTTTTTCCAAGCAGATCCTCATTTCATTTTTTCCATGCCACTGTCGTATGCCACTGTGTAAAACATGATCATTTTATACATATGGACATTATACATAAAAAAAACATAGGCAAACTGTATATATCACCAGTGTGTATGCATACACGAAATTCATACGTTTTTATATATGTATGCACTGTACAAAGCTGAGCATTTCTTCTTTTGTTGGAATTCTAAATTCTTCTTAAGTAGAGAACGTGTTACACTTGTTAATCTCTCTCCTCTTCTTCTTCTTCTTCTTCTTCTTTTTATTTTTATTTTTTTTATTCTTTTACTCCTTTTTTCGTTTTTTTAATCAGTCTAAAGCAAACGAAGCATAATGCGGATTATACAGTGTAATGCGTGAAACAATTACTCGGGGGAAGGGGGGGGAACAAAAGTTTCTTTTCATCACTTTTGAGCTTATGTACAAGTACTTATTCTTAATCGAAGTTACAGCATAAATTCTAAACGAACCCACGGATGTTTTTATTGAATGTTTTCTTTTTCCCTTTTCCTTTCGTAACTGTGAACTCATCTCATGAAAGTGCGGCAATAATAATAATAACAATAATAATAATAATTTACGGGTTTTAAATTAAAGCTACCACGTATGACGAAGGAAACAAACATTTTCTGGACGTTTGCATGAGAACGTATTTTTTTGATGCATCTCGAACTCGAATTGCAAATGAATTGCCCAAAGCAGAGAATATTCTATTATGAATAGAATGGAATGGATAAAAAAAAAAAGAAAAAAAAATTTCGATTGATGATGAAATAAATACTTCGCATCGATGTTGAAGTCGAAATGTTTCGATTATTATATATATATAAACGAATCGATTTATAAGTTTATATATATATAAATATATATATAAACATATATATAAGCATATATATAAGCATATATATATAAACATATACATAAGCATATATATATAAACATATATATAAGTATATATATATA